GTGCAAGGTGGAGTAGAGGGGAGAGGTAGCTCTCCCACACACTCACTGGGGCCTGGGCGAGGACTGGATCTGGAGGTCCACAGAATGCGACCAAAATTCTCACTCGGCGGGCGGGGTGGGAGGCGTATTGCAGAGTGCTGGTTGGGGTCCCAAGGGGGTGGAAGAGGGTCTCACCCATGCTGCACCTGGGCTGGGACCGGCAGGTCTCACTGGTGCAGGATAGCAGGAAGCTCTCCCACACACTCACAGGGGCCTGGGCTAGGACTGGCAAAATTTTCATAATGGATTGAGGGAAGACTGGTGCTATGAACCAGAGTGGAAAAGGAGAGAAAACCTTTGTACAAAGACATAAAAGACTGGAAAGGATGGAAACCTGGAGCTTGTACATAATTTTCTTAGGACCAGCCTTTGTGACTAAGAAGAAACTCAAAAATGGCCTGTTGCTGCTTATCTTTCACTCACATTATGTGTATTTGCAGAATTGGAGCAATACTGAACAAGTATCTTACAGATAAATATGTCACGGTGTTTCCTTTGTTTTAATTCATTTATCATCACAGGGTTCACCAAACCCCATCACAGGAATCCAAAAGAGGCAAAAACACTACCTAAAGTGATGATTCCTTTTAATTTATTCTTTCTTTGGTCCGGGGGTCTGACTACTCAGCTTGACTCATAGTGATCCTCCTGTCTCAGTCTCCCCGATGCTGGGATTACAGGCATGCACCTGCATGTCGGCTTTCAATAGCTGGCACAGCAGGGAGCCAGGGAATAATGCGGTACCAGGGATCAAACCTTGGTTCTTGCACTTGTCAGGCAGGTGCTTAGACCGCCAAGCTATCTCGCTGGTCCCCTAAAGTGATAACTATTTGCTTTGCACTTCTTCTTGGCTCCCTGGAAGGTTACACTAGGGCTACAAGTTAGTGGTTTTTCTGATGTACAATTAGTTGACTCATTATTCATTCCAGAACTATACTTTACTGACTCTTGGAGGCGAGGCTTAAGCAAACACAGCCGGGCAGCTAACATTATGTACCAATGTGAGCATTGCTGGACACAGCTGTGTGTGGTGATCCAGCTATTGGGACAAAAACCAGGGCTCAATGATGAGTGCCTTAAGTTACTTTATTTTTTTAATGTATTGGTATTGGGTCTCACTACACACCCCAGACTCCCAATGATCCTCCTGTTTTCAGCCTCCCCAGTGCTGGGATTACAGGTGTGCCCCACCATACCCTAACTCAGTGGCCTGCTCAGTGCACCCAGGGGGCCCACTCAGTGCTGGTGCGGCATCTGGTGCACAGGATGGAACCCCTGTCCCTGTGCTTGCCTGAGCAGGAGCTTAGTCCACTGAGCTATCTCACTGCCCTCCCTAAATTACTATATACTACTAAAAATTAAATTTGTCCTTGATATATGAAAGACAAATTAGCCAATTGTAAAGCATTACTTATTTTTATATCTAGGCACCAGCCCTTTATATTTAGGCACTTATATCCAGCATCCCTTTATATTTAGAAATGAAACAAAAACCCAGAATATCAAATTGGTTTAGCTTTTTACCTTATTTTCTTAAAGTGGAAGTGGGGAGTGGGACTTGGGGAGAGGGAGATAGAAGAGTCTATCAAAGTGTGGATGTTTGCCCTGCCTACTTTATGGGGTTGTTGCAAATACCAAACTTTAAAAGCCGTGGAGCACCACACAATAGTAGCATGAGGGCCTTTATCTTATTCAAATGGGAAGGGCATCAAGAGACAGAAGGAGGGAAGAAGATAGGGCAGAGGGAGAAGATGCACTGTATACATGTGCCAACTCCTTACAAGGAATGAGATCATTATGCAATGCAGACCTGTACTAATAAAAAAATAAAAACTGGAAAATATTACCCAATCATATTTGGTCAGGATGCATAAAATGTCACTTTCCACTTTCCACTTTAAATATCAAATAAAGAGGTAGAAGGAATGTCTGGGAAGATTACAAGGACAGTATTATGATACAGACTTGATGCCAGAAAGTCTTCTCCCAGGATTTTCTTCGGAGTCCTCTGCTACCTTTTCTTTAGACCATCTAGGCAACGAGTTTTCCAGTTTCAGTTCCCCAGGCGAAGCCACTGCAGTTCCAAAGGTCTAGGACACGAGGCAAAAGAACAGTCCACATATCAGAAGGATCGGAATTTTGCAAACCTTTGAAACTGTCAGGCGGCCAATGGCCAGGTGGGGTGCGGGGTCTCTGACCTGTTTCTGCCCTGTGCGTTCCAGGCCTGGCAGCCCTAGTTTTGTCTTTCTGCCGTGGCTGAGCAAACGTCAAACTCCAGGTTGTACGTGACAAGACGGCCTCTTTTATCTCTCCTGGCTTACACAGGCACCTCTCTCCGCCCCTCCCGCCAGCCTTTCTGGGCGTGGTGGATTCTTATCCCAAGGTCCAGGCTGCGACTGTTGATGCCAGAGGTGAGAAGGGCTGGACTACAACTCCCAGCGATCGCAGCGCCCGCCCGCCCGCCCCTCCGCCGCCCCGGCGCAAACCGGTGGCTTTAGCTCCCGACAGGTTTCCTGTTTTAGCACGCTTTGGGGCTGCTCTAGTCTCGGGCAGCGATAGTGCTCACGGCGAGCGCACGCAGCATGGCCTTTCACCTGGGCGGGCTGAGCGCAGGCCTCTGGGGCCTCGCGGCGCGGGCGGGCTGCGGAGAGCTGCGCGCCTGTTCCGGGCGCTGCACAGCTGCACGCCGCTGCCGGGCGCCTGGCACGGCCCGCCCCGAGCA